CGCTCGATGCTCACTCGAGCGTGAGACACAGTTCTTTACTCGAGCGCAAGTCTTGTCGCTCGAGCATGCTTCTGCACACGCAAAAATTCTGAGAGCTTGCAATTTACGCTTGAGCCAGCATTCCGTTGCTCGAGCGAAAGTCTGAAAACAAAGGTGGTTGCTCGAGCGTGGAATCCCTCGCTCGAACGAGGAAGCCAAATTCTGGGTTTTTCAGATTTGCTCCCAAAGCTCAAACCATGGATTTAATATGCCAAAACTCATCCTTTTGCGCCAAAATTCTGGAAAACACTTAAAGACTCATAACACAACATGATTTAAAGACTATTTCATAAAATTAAAGCCCAAAGGTATGCCAATTACATCAAATTTCAACTAAAACTTTATGATAGATTCAAAGACATGACATGCATGAGTTCTCATAAACTCCAAAACTTTAAAGTATGATCACATGCAAGATTCAACTAAAAAACATGGTGAATTTCTAAGGTACAACCATAATATGAACATGCATGTGGAAATTTTTATGAAAACAAATCTCAAAATTCAATGATAAGGACATGCTTGCATGGGTTGACTTAGCTTCCTCAAATTCTTGCTCAACACTCCCATTAATTTGCCTATTTAATTTGTGTTCAAGGACTAGGTGGCTCAATTTCAAGGTTAAAAGGTCGGGCTCTTACCTAGGCTACTCAATCAAGCTTCACTTAAGCAAAATTCTTGAGTAATAAACAATTCTTCAAGCTTTCCTCTTCAATTCTTCTAAATTTCAAGCCAAACTCTTGTTGAATCAAATTTCCTCCTACTCTCCTCTTTCTCCCTCACGATTTTGCAAGATGGTGGAGGCTAAAGGTGTGACAACATATGGAGAAATCAAACAAATGGCCTTGTAAGGGCCTATCAATGACAAATATGTAAATAGCTCAAGCTAAAGTAATTTAACATGATTTATTCTAACTTAATTGTTCCAAATCGAATTTTAATTAAACCTACCATAAAATTCTATAAATCCTAATTAGCATATAACACAAGTCAATTTCTGAATCGGTTGCTGATAAGGCTTTCAATTCGCAATTTGAAATTAAAACGTGAACAGATCATTCTATATCAAACAGATAGAGATGCAATTAAAACAACATACTCACATAATCAATTTGGGATTTCATCTTAATTATTTACCTAGCATGCTTAATCATGAAATAATGCTAAACATAGGTCAGGGTTGTCACAATATCCTTGGTCAGTGTTTTTAACATAGATGCATTTGTCACATTCGTTTATCTTAAACCCATTAGTAAGCATTTCATGATCAAATTTTTCATGCCATTGTTTAGGTGCTTGTTTTAATCCATAAAGGGATTTTACAAGCCGACAAACTTTCTTTTCTTGCCCCGGTACTACAAACCCTTCAGGTTGCTCCATATAAATCTCTTCATGTAGATCACCGTTTAAGAAAGCTGTCTTAACATCCATTTGATGTATTTCTAATTTAAACAACGCTGCTATGGCAATAAGCATGCGAATAGATGTTATTCTTGTCACAGGGAAACATGTGTCAAAATAGTCCAGACCTTCCTTTTGTCTATAACCTTTAACGAAAGGATCCCGTAGATAGTCCCATAACATTGAGACATGAAAGACATTATGCATATGTTCCATTTCAGGAGGGAGTGCTACCTGATATGCCACTAGATTAATCTTTTCAATGATTTCATACGGCCCAACATACCTCGGTGCTAGCTTACCCTTAACTCCAAAGCGAGTATGTCCTTTCATTGGTGTCACTTTAACAAAAACATGATCACCCATTTCATATTCCCTGTCTCGCCTGCGTACATCCGCGTAGCTTTTCTGTTGACTTTGTGCGATTTTCAGTCTTTGTTGAATTAATTTCACCTTTTCTGTTGTTTCATGCACAATTTTAGGGCCAAGTAAATGCTCATCTCCAACTTCTGCCCAACAAATAGGAGACCGACATTTTCTGCCATATAAAGCCTCGAAAGGCACCATACCAATACTCGAATGAAAACTATTGTTGTAGGCAAATTCAACTAAAGGCAAATGACTTTCCCAATTTCCTTGGAAATCAAGCACACACATACGCAGTAAGTCCTCTAGAGTTTGGATTGTTCTTTCTGATTGGCCATCTGTATGAGGATGGTATGCACTACTCAATCTCAGTTTAGTACCCAATGCTAATTGCAGACTTTGCCAAAACCGTGATGTAAATTTCGAGTCCCTATCAGAAACAATGGACACAGGCACTCCATGCAATCTAACAATTTCATTAATATAAATTGTGGCCAACTTATCCGCAAAGTCAGAAACCGATATGCACTACTATTCTGAGCATAACCAACAAACACACAATCTACTGTTCTTGGTCCAATCTTAGTCTTTTTAAGAACATGAACTTCAACTTTTGCCAAACACCCCCACACTTTTAAGTATTTGTAGGAAGGTGGTTGACCTTTCCACAATTCATAAGGAGTGCTGTTAGTTTTTTTATGGGGTATTCTGTTAAGAACATAATTAGCAGACAATATTGCTTCCTCCCACAAGTTCTGAGGTAAGCCTGAACTTAGTAACATGGCATTTATCATTTCTTTTAGGGTTTTATTCTTCCTTTTAGCAATTCCATTTTGCTGTGGAGAATAGGGTGTTATAGTTTGGTGAATAATGTCATGTTGTGCACAAAATTCATGGTGCATCATATTCACCACCTCTATCTCTTCTAACCATTTTAATGGTTTTTCCAAGTTGATTTTCAACTTCTGTTTTGTAGAGTTTAAACATTTCTAAGGCTTCATCTTTACTTTTAAGTAAATAAATATAACAATATTTTGTGCAATAATCGATAAATGTTATGAAATACTTTTTGCCGCCTCTAGTTTGAACAAATTCAAGATCACATACATCTGTATGAATTAATTCTAGAGGTTCGGTTTTCCTTTCAACCGATTTAAATGGAGCCTTAGTTAGTTTCGCTTCTACACAAATTTCACATTTATAATTAGGATCAATTTCAAACTTTGGTATATAATCTAAACCAATTAATTTACGCAAAGTATCAAAATTTACATGTCCTAATTTACGCAAAGTATCAAAATTTACATGTCCTTCTGAATGAATATCATGCAAAATTATTTGAAAATTTTGAACTTGAGAAATTACCATTTAGGAGTCTATCATAACAAAGTCCAGAAATTTACCGACAACAAATTTCTTCGTGCCGGCAACCTCTGTCTTGTATTTCTTCTCCAAAGAATCCCACAATTCTTTTGCTGACTTCAGAGGGCTGTAAACATTATACACCATGTTGTCAAGGCCATTGAGGATGTAGTTTTTGCATAGAAAATTTGAATGTTTCCAAGCATCTACAGCGGCAACAACTTACCGATCACTTTCACCCTCTTTAAGTGTTAGAGCCTCTTTATGGAGAAACCGGGTCAAATTTAGAGTTATAAGATAGAACAGTATCTTCTACTGCCATCTCTTAAACTCAGTACCGTTAAATTTTTCTGATTTTTCTCCATGATTTATCGATACTTAAACATGGTTCTGAATAGGGACCGGTGTTGGTGTAACAATTGGAGTACCACTTCCAGTTGCAATTTCAGTTGCAGTAGCCATAATATCTGATTACAAAAATCAAAAAAATAAACCACAAATTAATTTTCTAGTTACTAAAACCAAAAAATAAATTATAACACAAAATAAATTTTATTTTCCTTGTTACTAAAACCAAAAAAATAAAATACCACAATAATTTTCTGTAACACCAAATAATATTCTGTAATCTTGAATGTTCTGTCTTCTTTGACCATATTTTTCATCTCTCCAAGCAATTTTTGACCTGAATAATGAAAATACAAATTAGTTCACAAGTCGCTAGAAACATAGAAATAAACTTACTCATTTGTTAAAAATTAAAGAAAACAAAAAATTAAAAGAAAAAAAAAATCTAAAAAGTTTATAGGATTAATCAGAGTTTGAATTAATCAACCAGACTGAAATTAAATGCAGGGGTAACATCATCCAGATACATCAACTGGATAGGTAAGGAAAAAAATTAAATTCCTGATAAGTGGTCTAAGAACAAAGAAGAGATTAAAATGGAGAGAGAGCTGAGCAATACACTATACAAGAGAGGGATACTTAGTGTTTTGTTGACATGTCAAGCATTTTCCAGGAAAAAGAGTATCACAGAATCACATTACTCTCTTAATCAAGATGTAACACGATTTAGAGTCTCTAGAGAACGGCCCTTGGAGTTGGGGCCAACCAAATAATTCAAACTCCATAATGTGAAAAATGGAGAAAGGGTAATTCATATAAAAATGAATTAGGGTTCAGATTAGTGATGAAAGAGCACGAACGTAGTGCTTGGCCAATCCCAAAATAATACAAAAGCCTCAACTTCAATATACTAAAATTTCATTGCTTTAGCTGGCAATAACAGATGATTTTGTCCATAGTTAGTGCTTAAGTTGATGATAAAACTTAACCATTTCCATTAAATAAATAATAAATAGAACAAAAACTAAGGTTATTAAAAATCAATACCAATTGAAGAAACTGAGCAGCTAAAAATAAAAACCTTATGCTTGACAATGGGAAAGGGTCATGAACTTTAGAAGATGAAAAGGTGGTTCATTGATCTCAGAACATGGTGCTATATATGAAGGAATAAATCATAAGAGGAAGGAATGAATCACAGTGGGGATGAGATTTCAATTCAGAAGTTACTTGTAACTTTGACATAAGACCCAGTTATGTTTGCCATTTTCAGAGTGTTGTACTACAATTATTACCTCCTCTCTGAAAAGAAAAAAATAAATAAAACAAATATACTATGATTAGTATAAACAATCTCTAAAACATTATGACTAAGCAAGAAGCTGACCAACATTTAAATCAAAAATGAAAAGAAATCAACATGAAGAACGAGCACATGAGATTGTTAGATAATGTCTCAATGTGACCACATAATTAAATGCTATATATGAAGGAATAAATCATAAGAGGAAGGAATGAATCACAGTGGGGATGAGATTTCAATTCAGAAGTTACTTGTAACTTTGACATAAGACCCAGTTATGTTTGCCATTTTCAGAGTGTTGTGCTACAATTATTACCTCCTCTCTGAAAAGAAAAAAATAAATAAAACAAATATACTATGATTAGTGTAAACAATCTCTAAAACATTATGACTAAGCAATTAAGCAAGAAGCTGACCAACATTTAAATCAAAAATGAAAAGGAATCAACATGAAGAACGAGCACATGAGATTGCCATATACATAGGAAATTTTATGTGTATATATATACACACAGCTACACAAAGTTACAAACATCTAGTAGTAGGCAAGCACTTTGTAAAGTTCTTCTAGATAAACTATATTTGCATTCAAAAAGCCACCTAAAATTGGAGACCTAAAAGAAGGGACAACAAAGCAAAATGGATCAAAGGTCAACAAGATTTGAGTCAACTTGCTTGGCTAATAATGCAAAGATATATTATAATTATAGGCAGCTTCCATGCATGCAGTTAATTGTTGGTTAGTGTGTTTAAGCCATGGGATACCTGGTTTATTAGGTATGCTAGTGAATGCTCTTGGCAAACTGACGCTTGTAAAAACAAGATTTCAAGTCAAGCTATTCAATTTCCTTCTTGGAATTTTGTTTCTCCTGTAGAACAAAAAATGATGTCATTAATGAGCACTTGAACAAGTTCATGGATGACAACAAAGCAAATGACCATAAGAACTTCGCTTGTTTACAGCCCTATAACATGAGCACTAGGCAGGCCAATGAATGAAGCATTCACAATCTAAAAAAATATTCATCAACAACATCAAGTTTCAAAGCTTGAATAAGAATTGGCTAGAACATCTAAAGAATGAGAAACAGATAAAACTATCTAAAGTCAGTTACAAAAGAAGTGGCAATTCCTATCATTGGTAAAGAGACACAGACTGGAATAGCATACCTAGATCTTCCAGAGCTACTGCTTCAACTGATTATTCAGCTCTCCCTGCTGAGCTGCACATGCTCTAAAGTCTTAGAAACACCAAAGATTAAGTGCACGTCTGTGTATCCAACCCAAATTGCCATGTAACAGATAGCAGTGCACAACCCAACAAGCTGCAGAAGTTAGTTTCAAAAACCAGAACACATGACAAACACAAATTACTGAAATAAAAAAGGAGCAGAAAAAACGAGAACCACAAATAACCTTAGCTAAAGAATCTATAAGTTCAGAGCATCCCCATGAACTATGAAGGGTCATATCGCTGCCCGAAATTAAAAAAGCAATGACACTAACCTACATGCCTATAAAAATAGACACCGAGATTATACACTCGCATAATGAGATTAAATTATTAGAAAGTTAAAGCACCTAGAACTAATGATGCCTGAGCGCTCGACTTTCAGAAAATTAAAAGCTCAAGTCACAAGTCACATTTGAAATATATGTAAATACTCAATTTATGGTGTACATCAGCCTACCTTGATACATGTTTATTCACTTACAAGAACTTTACCTTCTTATATGAACTAAACATTTTAGAAAATAAAAAAACTCAAATAAAATACTGTACATTGAAACATATGTAAACACTCTAGTCAAACAAATCATAAACCTACCAAATTTAGCATTGTCATCAGTTATGGTGTACATCAGCCTACATTGATACATGTTTATTTACTTGTTGTAAGAGCTTTACCTTCTTATAAGAACTAAATATATGCACATGTCTCTTGACCTTATTTCTGCCACTAGCACCTGGTTCAGGAGAATAATACCTAAATGGGAGCATAAGCCAAAGCACCTGGTTCAGGAGAACTTCGCTTGCCTAGTGCTCATGTTGTCGATGAAATTTGGTAATGCTTCACTCAATATGGAGAATATTCGAAATGCTTCACTCAATGTGATGAAAAAAGTGTTTTTCCCTTGATTTGATAAGCATTTTATGAAAAGGTTGGAGATGGATTTTGAGCAATTTTTCATCAAATTTAAATTTGATAGAATAAAAAAAAAAACCAAAAAGGTAAGGACTGAAAAAGAACTTTTTTAGTTGCAGCAGAGCAGACTGCTAATTTTTTACCCTATAGTCGTCAGCCAAAAAGGTTAATTCAAATATGATTCTTCACGTAAGAAAGGGAAGGTGGAATTTGACCAAACTTTGGAAAGAAAAGTAGTCTTACCGAATTAACTGTGGAAAACAGATGCAAATACAATGAAAAACTTAAGAGCCATGACAAAGTGACGATTGCATTTATAAGGTAAAATGTCTATCTTACAGCAGCCTTGCCTCATCCATCAATCTCAAAACTCCAGGTCTGGGCTCCACTTGCCCATTAACAACACAAATCCATTTTCTTGGAAATCATTCATCCAGAATAATCACCCACATAGATGAACTAACAAGTAATCGTAAATGAAGAATAAATAAATTCCTACTTACACTTCCAGATTTGATAATTTCCTTGTATCTTCCAGTCTTCCAATCCTACAGATAAATAACCCTAAAACAGTCCATAAATATAGCCAACTAATTGATGATACAGATTAAAAAAACTCTCTTCAATTCGGAGGAATTTACAAGAGATTAGCATAAATATAGCCAATTCATCTCTGTTAAAGACCATGATCTCTTCCCCCTTTTCCCCCCAATTCTTCTCTCCAATAGGAGAGCTTTAAGAATAATTACTACAAAATTGCTATTGGTAACTTTGAGAAACCCTCTCTTTGCTCACAAGAGAAAGAAACCCTCACTCAACCAATCAGCCTGGCCTGTTTGGTTACCGAAATGTCTAGACAAAGCTGAATCACCCGAAATAGAAAGAAAGGAAATTTTGCTAACAAATGCAAATCCAACTAATTGACTTACTTAAATTTATTTTATTTTATTTTATTTTATTTTATTTGTTAAAAAATTTCCTAGAAACCAAAAACCCAAAATCAAAATCCAAACTCAACTACTATCAACTAAAACCACGCAATCAAACAATGAGAACATCAAAATTAAAAACACAACTACAATCAGAATTTAAAATAAAAAAATAAAAAAATCAATATTTAATTATTTCGATGTCGAGCAAGGTTTTTAATGAATTGAATTACAAGTACTTGTAATTTGAATTCTGAAAAAAGTTGGGAATAAGAAATGCGAGAATCAAATATTCATGAGTTCAAATGAGTCCCACTTAGGGGATAATGGTAATCTGTTAGGTGAAAAAAAAGGTGTTAAAAAGATTTGTTGAAGAGCTGGTGTTAATATGTTTAATATAAAAACTAATTCATAGAATCAGATATAGAATTTGTATAGATGGACAAAATTTTACAGAAGTAGAGTTGTGGTGGTCGTCGGGAGCGCCGGAGATATAGCCGGCGACGGAAGAGACAATCTTCAAACAAGATGAAAGAAACCTCACAGAATTGGGATGAAGGTGTGCTCGGTCTTGTTGCTTTCTTGTGCTTTTTTCATAATCAAAGACTTCTTCAAGTTTCACCGCTCACCGGGAAGCCACCGGTAACGATAACTGCTCCGCCGCCGCCGCCTCCGTCCGCCTCCGCCGCCGGAAACTGACGATCAGATACTCCGCGGCGGCAGATTTGGAGGAAAAAAGAAGCAGTGGGGCCACTGGAGGGAGATTTTGTGTTGTCGTGGTCGATCGAGAGAGAGCAGAGTTGAGGGAGTCCCTAGGGTTTATAAGGAAGAGTCGTGTGTGTTTGGACTCAATCTAAAGCAAGATTAGAAATTAGAAAATATTTTATATAAAACAAGATTGGAAGGAATTGCGATTAAAAGTATATAGGCTAAATTAAACTGACCAGGTTTTTTCAATAAATACATGGATTTTTTCTATAATTTTAACAATTACAATAATTTTTTCTATTTTACTTGACATTTTTCAAATTTTTGTTTTTTGTTAAATTGGAAATGGTGTTACTTTTTAGGAAAATTTACCAATAAATCCTATTTCATAAACTCTTAAACCAATTAGTCCCAACTTTATTCTTTTGTTCGGGTAAGTCCTATCAGTGGGGAAGTTTGTTACTTGTTGATCCTATTTTCCATATTTGGTCCTTTTTTATTTTTTTTTTATTAACCATGTGAATGTATCCAACAATCCCCAAAAACAGGGATTGGTTTGGAACCAGAAAAAACAGGGATCGATCCCCAAAAACCATGCAATCCAATGCGGACCGCTTCGTCTAGGTTTCCCCTCTCAGAATTTCTAGTCTTGAATCGTTTCCGGACTCGGCTTCCAAAACCCTTGCAATTTCTTCAGGCATATATGCTTTTTAACTCTCTGTAATACAGTTTTTATTTATTTTTCTTTTTCTAATACTTTTCAGTGAGTTAATGTGTTGATGTTTGTAGTTAAGCCACTCTGTTTTAGGTTCAATTATTTTTCACATTACTAGTAGGGAGATCTCTTCAGTTATCAAAATTTTTGAGAGACGAGTGAGGCTATGAATCCTGTAGTGACAGATTCATTCTCATTTGTGAAACAGAGAAATGTGTGTATCTGTGTGTGTGTGTCTGTCTGCCCCTCACAATGTATGTGTGTATCTGTGTGTGATAGGAGAAAGATGGGACTAAACGGTTTAATAGAATAAAAATGGGACCAATTGGTTCATAATACTTTCAATAGTAAAGTTGCCATTAGGTTTAGGAATTTTGGAATTGAGGTTGGGTTCAAGGTTTACAACTCAATCTCATTTAAAACACTCAAAAAATGTTCTCAAACTTTATCCCTCTAAAATAAGAGGAGGGAGGATCCTTTTATAGGCAAGAAGAAGCTTGGGGGCCAAGAAATGAGCTACTAGGGTTACCCCCATTGCATTCTCCTTGCACCTCCTGTCCAAAACGCAACAACAATCCAAAGAAAAATACAACTTTAGATTGTCTGGGGCCATGTGTGGGTGCACTTCGCACATGCGAATCTTGGAGATATGTGCACATGTATGCAAAGATTCAAATAATGTGGCACATTGTAAGAAAAGTTAAGATTTTTGTGATAAAATTGAATTTTTTGGGATGAAAGTTACCAATTTTTTTTTTCTCAATGACTGGGGAGATTGGAGCGTATATGGTCCACAGAATTAAGGCGGGGTCGCTTAAGTAGAGGAGAGCATCTGGGGTGCTATGCAATAAATGAGTACCCATTAGATTAAAAGGGAAGGTCTATATAACTACAGCTCTCCTCTCCCTTCCTCCTCTACCACCTCCTTCTCCTCTTCTAAATCTTCCTTTTCTTCTTCACCAGATGATACTCGTCCGTGTAGCTCCACAGCTCCATTAGCATTGTTTACCAAACCAAATTTTAAACATAAAGGCCAACCCAACCTACCCTCCCCCACCATCCATCGAAGACCTCCAACCTTGCCCCCGCCGCCATCGATGACCAATACCCAATCCCAAATCGAACCTAAAAAATTGACCATTTTTTCTCAATTCTATACTCAACCCACCATTCTATTATTGCACCACTAGCCTCCACCTCCCTAATCTTCACCTTCACCTCCACCTCCACCTCCGTTTTTTTGGCTCAACCTCCACCGCCAACTACCCTAATGTGAAATCAATCCCGTCTCATTTCAAGCCCAATCACCATGAACTCCTACAACAACGAACATTAAGACGACGGGATCTGGTGTTTGACGATAAGCAAGACCAGTAAGATCGAGATCGACACCTTTGAAATCGGCATTTCCATGGCTCTGGTGATTCTTCCTTCAGCATCATCATCTCTCTCTCTTGCTCTCCGGCATTGTTGTCTCGCTTTATTTCTCCTCATGCGTTTGGTGTTTCGATTTTGTACTTGTTAGGATGTAGTAGTGTATACGATTGGGGCAATGGAGAGTCGTGGTGGTTGGGGGTGATGAAATTGGAGGTTGGTGGCAATGGAGAGTCGAAAGAGGTAGAGGGGGAAGGTAGAAATTGGGTGTATTGGAGGAAAAACACAGAGGTAGAAGAGATGAAGATGGGTAATTATTGAATAGAATGAGGTGCATGATAAGGTTGTATGAGGAAGTGAACAAAGGGTCATTTCATCTTTTTGCGCTTAAATGAAAGGGTAATATGGTCATTTTGTATAGACAAGTAACGTCGTTTGTGCCAAATTGACGGAATTGAGGAATCTTGATATTGCCAGTTAAAATAGGAAAGGTTTCTGTAATTATTGAAATCACAGGGAAGGTCTCTATATTTATCAAAAACCTCAAAAGAAGTCAGTGTACTTTATCCAAGTATATATATAATCACACATGTTTGGAATTTGAGATTAAAAATAAATACTATTTTACTTAATTAAATTAAATGTAATTAAAATATCATTTTAATTTTTTTAATTATACTTCTAATAAAAGTGAGTTTTTTAATTTCTCATGTGTAATCTTTAATTATTATTGTATTAGTGTCGAGGTTAGTTGACAAATGATGTTATTGTTGTGAATGTAACCGGATAAATAAGACATACCCTCGTATTGTCAACCCGGTGATTAGCAAAAGCGGGTAGCTTCCCATTCGGAGATCGCAGCTCAGCGACTACTGCCCTAACAACAAGATAAGGTTACCCTAGGTTTGATTATCCATAGAATAAAGATTTTAGTCAGAGAGCAGGGAAGAGAAATGCTAGTTTACTATTTGAGCAGAGTGATGCAACCGGCAGAGACTCGATACCAAAGGATCGAGAAGGTGTGCTTATCTTTGGTATTCGCTGCTCAGAAGTTGAGGAATTCTCTACTCGCTCATTCAGTGCAACTAGTGACCAAGTCGGACCCTATCAAGTACATGTTGACTCAACCAGCATTGTCAAGGAGAACCTTCATATGGCTATTAAATGAATGGTGATGAGAATGAATGCCAATGAGACAAATTTGGAGCGAATTTGTCATCCCCCACCTCTACCCTATATCATATTAGGAGCAGGGATAGGTTAATTTTGTAATTTTAAAAAAATAATAATAATTAAAGATAATATAGTATATTAAAGATAATATAGTATATTATAGATAATAATTTATAATTAATGAGTTAAAATATGTACTATGATAAATAAATCAGTAAAAATGAACATTAAGTATAGTATTTTAATATTTTAATTTTATTATATTAAAAAAATTGAGACGAGAATGGGATAGATCGGAATGGAAGAGTAATGGGTGGTAGTCGGAACGAATAGGAGAAAGAAGAAGAAATGTCAAAAAAAAAAATTTAAATAGAAAACAAAACCAACTTTTTTTGTATTTACAAAATTTAATAAATTTTGTAAACTGTTTGCAACTTTTTGAAAACAAAAACAAAAACCAAATGAATTTTTTTTATAGTTTTCAAAAATTATGTAAATATAAACAACAACAACAAAAAACAACAAATATAAGAGGTACTTGCAAGCCGGGTCTATTGACTAGACTTATTTACCTACAAGTCCTGACTAATAAATTTATTACTATAAATTTATTCATAAAACAAGAGACACTGATAAATTTATCACTGACTAAAAAATCAATAGGACTTAATGGTATTTAAGTCTCCTTAATGAGACTAATTCGGAATTATCTCTAAATATAAACATTACCAAACAGGCCATAAGGGTCTGGTTTCTCTTGAAATCAAGATCTGAAAAAGTGCCTGTTCAGGCTTGTGGGCTTATCACAGGTCTTGTTTTAATGATCTCAATCATTCATTTTGTATGCCCATTCGTCTATATTATCAAAATAAATAAATAAATAATCAAATAATCTTAACTTATTCAATTAATCATATTTGTGTTTGAAAAAATGAATGACAAGGATGTGTAGTATTACATTAGTTTAAGAGAAAACGTTATTGTTGGTACATACCATATGTATCTTACCACAAAATGTGTAATTTTATCATAAAATTTTATAATATCAACTACAAAATATGTACTATCACCACAAAAATGCCCACAATTTTGTAGTTAAATGTTGTAAAAGTTTGTTGTTTAATTATGACATTTTTTATTATGTTAATTTGTGATGAAATTATATATTTTATAATTGATATTATAAAATTTTATAATAAAATTACATGTTTTGAGATAATATCCACCCCTAGGAGAACCCTAGTTTAATTGAGGCAATTACCCCCACCTAGCTGAAAAAAAAAAAAAAAAAAAAAAAAAAAAAAAAATGGAAAAAAAAAATGGTCTCTGAATGAGTGAACGCAAAAAAATAAAAAATAAAAATAGAAAAGGGAATGTCTAACAGGAGACAATTTGCTTTCGCTCATTCAGAGACAGTCTCTCTCCCTATGTTACTTTTCTTTTCTTTTTTTTTCTTTTTTTTTTTTCTTTTTTTATAGGAGACAATTTGCTTTCACTCATAGACATTCTCTCTCCTATTTTACTTCTTTTTTTTCTTTTTTTCATTTTTTTGGGATCTCTCTTAATTATAAAACATTATAGTAATAGAGAAAATGTATTGCTTGTTCATTCCTAGACAACTACAAAACATAAGCATTTTCTACATAATGAGTGTTGACATGGACAGGCCCACAAAGGCCATGAACCACTATAAACAATCCAAGCCTATCAACTGGAATCCAATACATAACCCAGCCGATGGAGTCCAGAACAGCCGGAATCCAATATGACATAAAGAACCAATGGCATTCAGGCACGTGGCAGGTGAAGAACGAGCCACATCAGCAAACAAAGGTCTGCAAAGTTATTGCCACTGCACATCACCATTAATGCAGCACGTCACAGCATTTATTACGACAAC